AAAACTCTGCTGCTGAATCAAGAAAATGGTGTTGCACTGCTATGCCAGGTGCACACTGCTGAGGCTCAGAGCATAAACTATCTATGTTCACTCTCTTCAGGAGCCACTTGTATCAGTCCTTACCCAGGAGGATGAGATGAAAGTAAACCTGCTGAAAGAGAAGTCAGTATCTCTGCAGCATTCCTAGCTGGCTTAAGTAGACTAGTTTTTGTTTGTTTGTTTGTTTGTTTGTTTTTCAGGGTAGAATAATCCTTGCACTGCTACAAAGAAGTCAGTATTTGGATTCTTGCTGCCACAAGAACTCTAAAGAATTAATAAAAATGAGCTCACCATACATTAGTTCTTGGGAGGTGTCTTGGGGATAAGGGGTTTGGCTTACTGCCATCCACAGCTTGTACGCATGCCCCAGTCTGCATCTAGCTCATACCAGAGGAGAAGGGAAGGTGACTTAAGCTATGGGCTCCCCAGATTCTGGCCTGGAAAAGAAAACTTGATGTATGCAGTTCCGTTCCTGTAGCTATCCCAGAAATTTTTTCCAGAAGTGGAATTCAGGAACTGTTTCTAATGGAGGGAAATGTATCTCCACTTGGTGAGTAGGACCACCAGAACCTTTTACCCTTATTGACTGGCTCTGAGCTCAGCCTGACAAATGATCAGTGAGGCTTGCTGGTCACACACCATTCAGTAACTCATGAGGATTATGAGGGGGAATAAAGCACATCCCATCAATGCCTTTGCCACACTCTAGCATGGCTCTATTCAGCCAGACATCATTAAGACAAAAAATGCTTTACGGACTTGGTTGATTTGCCATCCATCATCCATCCTTCAGCACATGCAATTCATTCCAGCTGCACTTTGCTTGGTGCGAGGGCTTGGGTGCTATTTCTTACCCATATTCTAGTCTCTCAAACATGAGTGCTTGAGAGCAAGTGAAATAGGAATAGCAGGAGCAGGTGCAGTCCCTTCAGTCCCAAGGGTAAGCCCGAGCTGCAGACTAGGGAGGCAGCTGGGTCTGGAGTCACCAAGTAACATGCTGCTGTTGTTAATGATGATGATGATGATGATGGTGATGATGAAGTGTACAGATTCTAGGAACACTTTTAGTGATCAATTGAGTGTGGACATCAGGTTCTTATTATCTCATAGAGTAACAGAGCAGCTGATTACGCTGTGACCTTTACTTTGCTAAGCAACAGTCTGTATCTTACAGGACATTTGCTTGAATATGAATTAAGGAAGGGAAGAGGGCAGAAGAGGTGAAACCCTACCAACTTATGTCAAAAGCACCTGTATTTCAGAGAGAGCTCTGCAGTCTGCAGCAAACTGTGAAGACTCTCTTTTACCTTTACTTCATCTACATGGTGCTTTAATAGAGGAAAAGGTCATTGGTGTTTTATCCTCTGTGTTCCCAGAGCACTGGCTGTTCCTTGCATTTCAGTCCCTATACAAATAAATCCTAGTTTTAATCACAAGTAAATGCATTCAGAGACCATAAGTAGCCAGTCCCCATTTCCTTATCATTTTCTTAGACTTGAGGTGAGGAGCCCACAGTTACTCTGGTTTTGTACTAGGTACATGTATCCCTAGGAACACAGAAACCATGTCAGGGTGAACTGGGCTACCTGCAGCCACAGGCAGAAGGGCCAGATCCAGGTGACCTGCCCTTAGTGGTCACACAGCCAGAAGCTGCCCATTACCATTAGAAGTACCCAAGCAAACAATGTTTGGGAACCCAGTTCTATCAGCTGCAAGTTCTTGGGGAGGCAGGCATATTTCTTGGGGGTCAGAAATATTGCTTTTGTAGCCGGGGGGGCTCCACTCATCCAGAAGTGCTCTGTGAGCAGGGCAGATTCCATGAGAGTTACTCTTGTCCCCACTGCATAAGCTCAGAAACCACCATGGTCTCTGAGCAGGATGGGGCTGCAGGTCCCTCTCTGCCCCAGCTGCAGCATGGGCATGGCTGCCTGCCCCAGGGGGATAGCAAAGGCTGGATGCAGAGCATCCCTGGTGCCATCAGGCCACCAAGGGAGCAGACCCCATGCAGCAGGGGGAAACCGCCCTCCACCGTGAAGCGCTGTTAGTGTAGATAGATGTTAGTGCATCTGCTCTAAAACGGGCTGTTTAAAATCCACAATCACCTTCATTATTCTGCAGCTGCGTTGTCTGACTCATCCCACTGCAGATGCTCTGAGGCAGCAGCTGAGGTTAAAAACTTTCCCAACTTGTTTTTTATTCACCAGGGAAGCTCACCTCTAGATTAGTGGTAGAGTATAGAAGCCATAACTGCATCTGTGATCATGGGAGGCAAATGAAAGGGAACCTGCAAAAAGAGAGAGAAAACAAATGAGGCACAGGTTGATTGAAGGACTTGTATTTCATTTTTGTCTTTCACTGTTTGACACAATTCTGCATTCTTAGATCAATGTAGTCAGTACTAGCCTAACACTGAAAAAAAAAAAAAAACACAAAAAACAAACAAACAAAAAAAAAAACACAAACCAAACCAAACCAAACCAAAACAAAAAAAACACAGAGAAATTTACATGGCTACAAGCCACATAGCCATGGCTTAGCAGACATCTCCATGCAGTAAGTTTTTTCTGGGATCCTTACTCTGACCCCTGATCACACTACACCCCTGTCTCTTCCCAGAGGGAGCTGAATACTTGCACTCAGCCCAGGTTTCTTGCCAGCACTGTCCCTTGCTGCAGACCTCTCCTACATAGTACACAGAGAAATTCAGGGTGTCAGAGTACTTGCAAGCTCCTATGACAGGCGTAGGGATGCACGGCTCCATGCTGATTTTCTGCTCCCAGGCAGCCAACCTGCCCTAGGCACACCTCTGCCTGCTGCACACAGACGGTGCAAAGGAAGTGTATAACCACCTGCATGCCCAATCTCCCTCTGCCAAAATGGAAACCTCATAGCCCTGCCTCACCCAAGCTGTCAAACTTTCTCCTGTGCTTTTATACACAGACATGATCTTGCCATACATTGCTTTTAGCTGCAAGAAAATTTCTCCCTCATGTCCCTTACTATTTTGTTCTTACGGACTGCATTTCCAGGCTAAACATCCTTGGGTTTAAATAGATGGGGTGACCCAAATACCACTGTATATGATTATTCAAGGATGAAGAACAGACTCCAGTCCAATGATTTTTACAGGACACCTTAAAACAATATTGTCCTTCTCAGTAGCAGTTTCTAGAAAGCCTATATTCTACAGCATCCCTATTCCATTTGTCATTTGGCTCACTTTTGCTATATGTGTTGATGCAGCACATTGTCAAGCATCTGAACCATTTGCTGTGCTGTCCTCTGGACCACACTGATTTCTTCTGGTACAAAGTGTAGCTTAGAAATCCTCCACTGTGGATTTTTGCAGTGAATGTTTTGCAGCAAGCCACTTGTTACTAATGATCCTAATTTTACTTGTACAACTTTTCTATAACCTTTACTCAAAAAATAATTGGGAAAATTTACAATGGTAATTGAAGTGTTTACTAACTGATGGCCTACTTGCGAGATTAAATGGAATACAGCATTGCAATTCAGGAAATTTTCCAGCCTTTTATAAGAAGGAAAAAAACTATGAGAGTGGAAGCCAACATTTTTTTGCAGTGCACCCCCGGAATATTTGTTATTGCAGACTATCAGCTGCAGTACAGCAATGATTTCAACATAAAATATACTCAAAGTCTGAAGACTAAATCTAATTTAAAGCCTAAGTGATGCTCATGATTAAAAATGTATTATCTATTCCCAGCAAATCATACATCACTGAAACACTAATGTTTCCCTAATTTTAAGCAGCATCTAGTGTGTCAAAAATTAGATCTGATCCTCCAAATTATGGATGAGAAAAATAAGATCGTGCCTTGACTACATCCCACCGAGTGCTGGGTGGTTTTCTGAGATTCATAAGTTATCTGTTCAGTCACTGCTCTTTTGCTAATGGACATTAAATATTCCTCCAAAGGTGCAGGAGATCTGATCTGCTGCCTGGAGATAATTTGTCTGTTGTCTAAAGGAAGGCTCCCAATTAGACAAAGCCAGCTGACTAAAAGTGGAGCAGGGAGAAGCCTCATTTTGACAGTGATAATCTTTTTTTGTCATTCCAGAGCAGGGGACGGGAAAGGGTTTGACTTTATTTCAATTATAACTGAAAGAAAAAAACCTCCAGTCAGATAAACAACTTTATAAGGATCGTGATTCTCACTGTTTCCATTAGCCAGCTTGCCATGAAGATGAAGGAGGTCTGAGAGGGAACCACAAAGCAAATCTGCATGCAATTACAGGAGCTGCTTATCTAGCATGGGTGTTAACTCAGGTCCCAGTTAAATCAGAGCTGGCTGTGTTGGCAGTGCACCACCTTCGTCTGACACTTGACCGATGTGAACTACTGTCCGCATTGTGAGAGGGAAAAACAGTTCAGTTAGCACTGTGTCGCGCCTGGCGCGTGACCGCTGAGGGGGTGATGGAGGTGTCCAGACTCTGCTTTGTGCAAAATGGGAAGAGCAGCAAACCAGAAGCTTGGCCTCAGCCGCACAGCTTTGCTAGTAACGTCTGAAATGCTTCAGAGGGGTCTGACATGGACACAGGCAAGTCCACTGGAAAAGAGAGAGAAAGCATCCCTTTCCTACATCATCCCCAGTGTCCGTATGTGTCATTTTGCTAGCAAGGGGGGTGATTTTATTAACAAGATCCTGATTTATAGTCTATAATGTGATGATAGAAAGTGGGTTTAAGCAGGAAATGAATTTTCAGATGTATGCTGCAATGAAGAACAACGTTTTTAGAATCGTCCCCCACAAACTGAGTAGAGCGTGTGTAGGTATCAGTCTGCTTGCCAACAGTTTCTGCTCACTAGAAGAGCAGCACGACATACATGGTCTGCACTGGGATCCAGTCAGCTCCCAAACACCCCCCGATTACAGGAATGAACCAGAAATCCCATAAACAAATATAAACAGACGCAGTAAAAAAGTTTTACCTTTGGCTTCAGCAAAAGGTGAAAGAAAATGAAAAGAAAGCTGTAAGAGATCAGAATGTGTAGCCTGCTCTGAGCTACTTTTCCTGGTAGAAATTAGATCCTGAAAGGCCCAGGTGAAAATCGGAGATAATCCCTGTATACGTGCTTCTAATTGGGACAAGCTGAGAGCAAGAAAGCTGAAGGAGTCAGCTACAGCCCCTCCGCAGGGTTTGTTCCCAGCGAGCACCCAAGGACGCAGTTATGCAAAGCCTCTTCTATAAACAGCCCTGAGTTCACTCTGGCAGAAGTGAGGCTCTATTTCAGTCTCCACCATGCAGAGGCGTTACCCTTGTGCTTCCCATCCCAGCACCCCAGGCCTGCTGCTCTGGCCGTGGCCCCTTGGTCGGCTCCTGCCCATGCCTGCACCGTCGCCCCAGGCCCAAGCCCATGCCCAGCCCCTTGGCGGCCATTTCCTAGCGGGGGGGCCCCAGGGGCACTGCCTGAAGCTATTCTGGTAGCTGTGAGTCCCGCCGGTGTCATGTGAACCAAAGAGCCCAGAAATGCATGTCAAATTGGGCCAGTGACTAACCGTGATATTTTGGTTGTCTCCGTGCCTCCCGGGCAAAGATTTATTGTCTGAGAAAACCTTCACGTAATAATCCCTGGGTGCTGACCTGATCTTCAGCTGAGTGAGTGTGAAAAGACGACGAAAAGGGGGCTGCTGTGCTGGGCACAGTCGGGTCTAAACTTATCCGAGGCTGAAACACAAACAAGGGAGGAGAAACACATCTGCTTCTGCCCAGAGCCATGCGTTGGCAGCCAGAGAGGAGCTATTATTTGAGCTGCCTGAGGAGCAAGGAGGGTCGAGGGCGACGGCTGAGCAGACACAAAGTGCCACTGGTTGGGATTGTCGTCTAGCTCCCTCATCTGTCACCTGATGGCCAGCCAAGCAAGCACTCAGCCGTGGACCATTCATCCCTGCACAAGCAACAGAGGCGAGAAAAGTAAGCATCCTACGGCTGTTACAACATTCAGCTGTTTTCTCTATAAAGGAATGCATTGAATTCACTACAACTGTACTAACTACTCCCCTATGCCGGGCAAGAGACTTTTATTTTTTTATTTTTTTTAGTTGGGCTTTTCTCTAACAGCTGGAGGTCTGCTGGGCATTCATTCAATGGCTGTTGAGTAGGGCAGCTGTTTCACTATCTAATTGCACGTTAACTTTAAACTGGAGCAGAAAGCATTGCATTACCTACCATGAGCTACTTCCTGTCCTACTGCAAAGCACACTGCACTGCCGTGCTCTCCCAGTACCAGACACTGAGATCAGAGGGCTTTCTGTGTGATATTTTGCTGAAAGTGAAGGAAAATGAATTTCCTGCGCATAAGTCCTTGTTGGCATGCTCCAGCGACTATTTCCGAGCAATGTTCAAAAGTTACACCCAGGAGTCTAAAGCCAATGTGATTCAGCTGCAAGTCGTTTCACCCACTGGTCTCCAGCATGTCCTGGATTTCATTTACACTTCTTTGCTGCCCCTTTCCTTTGAAAGCCTGGAGGAGACCTTGGAGGCTGCAAGCTACTTGCAAGTGACAGATGCTATTGGCTTGTGCAATCAATACTTAGTTAACAACCTTACCTTGGAAAACTGCTGCTTCTCCGCCAACATCGCCAGGAGGTTCTACCTGCCAGATGCCCTAGTCGCAACGGAAAAATACATTGTCAACAATCTCTGGAAGCTGCTGGACTTGGATTTGGCAGGACTGCTTGAGCTGAACTTCAGGACTTTGCTAGCGGTAGTGGAATCCCCAGATCTCCCCATGGTGAAGGAAACCCGCCTGTTGAATCTTGTGCTGCTGTGGCTGAAGCAGGATAAATCCAGGTTGATTCATGGAAGCAGCCTTTTGGAGCACATTAGATATGGTCTCATCCCTGTGGAAGAGCTGAGGAAAACCTACACACAGTCAGAAGTGCCCCTCACTGCAGGTATTAAGTGCCTGATCATTAAAGCAATAAATTACCATACATCTATTTTCAAACAGCCCATCCTGCAGGATAAATCCACCACACTGAGGAACCAGAAAACTCGTATCATTCTGCTGGGGGGAGGGACGGCAAGTGATGGGCTTGTCACTGAAGTGGTGGCCTTTGACGTTTACAATCACAAATGGAGACCTCTTACACAGGTGCAGGACAGGGTGCAGAACCATAGCGTGTGTGTGGTGGGGAATTTCCTCTACGTTTTAGGTGGGGAAATAGAGGGTGGCACTCCAGGTGACACTGACAGAGACAAGATATTATCGGTTACGAACAAGGTCCATCGCTATGATCCAAGGTTTAACACGTGGACCCAAATCACGGGCATGCTGGAAAAGAGATGCCAGTTTTCCTGCTGTGTCCTAGGTAATGATATCTACGCAATTGGTGGACGGGGTGAGAATGGGTCTCTGCATTCATCTGTGGAAGTCTACAACATCAGCAGGGACAGATGGACAAAGGCCAGGGAATTGCCATGCAAGATACATGGCCATGCCAGTGCTGTTTGCAAGAGTATTATATACATTTCAGGTGGCAAATATGCAGACCCAGCCAGCACGAGCAAGGACGTTTATTCTCTGAGTTCGCTTGAGGGGCAGTGGATGAAACAAGCTCCTATGAGCATAGCTCGGTTTGGGCATCAGATGGCGACAATCAGAGAAGCTGTATTCACATTTTTAGGTTTATATGAACCATTCTCTGAAATAGAAAGGTATGACCCCGATCAAAACCAATGGACTCGTTTAAGGCCACTGATCTATGACCGATTTTGCTATGGCCTGGCAGTGGTAGAGGAAACAGCTCTTCTTATTGGGGGAAAGAAATGGCAAGACTCGCGGGAAGTCCCCACGCAAGATGTGGTTGGCTACGATATCGACAATGATGGCTGGGAGGAGATCTGCAAAGCCCCCTTGCCCTGGAGCGGGCTGCAGTGTGCAGTGCTGCAGCTCACAGAAGTGGCTGATGAACAGGACATTGACACCCTGCAAAAGAGGCCACTGAACTGCTGAACTAAGGTGTTGCGGAATAATCATCCCAGGAGAAGAGCCAGCAGGGCAGCCCTGGAGAAGAAGAAGAAAATTGCAGTGGCACTGGATGTGACAGAGTTGAAGTTCTGCTTTGATAAGCAAGACACTGGGTGGAAACAGGCAAGAAAGTTTGGCTGCAGCCTGGGAAAAGGTGATGTGATTCACAGAGCTGAAAGCCAGCCTCACTGGGGAAGGATATAGCAAGTCGCAGGTTTGGAGGAGATGAGCTAGGGTCATAAACCTGGACTTTTATTTGAAGAATAATACCTGGACAGCAATTAACAGCTGTTGCAAGTCAGATTTTTCAAAGGTTAAAAAGATATAATCCATTTTTTCTGTTTTCTTAATCAGAGGTAATTTTCCCAGTTGGTAAGTGCTATCAAATTGCTGTGCTATGGCTAAGCAAAATGAAAGTGAGATGTATAAAGACTAGAAAATTGATGCCTATGAGAACTAATAACAAGTAGTGCCAAGAAAAAGCTATTATTTGATATGCTACATACTAGGCAAGAGTGCCTTAGCTAACCAGCATGAAATTACTGGACAGAAACCATGGATTTTTTGAAATTTAGCCTCAGTTATGGCCATATGTTAAAACAGTGATTGTTTCATAGAAGCCACTTCTCTCTGAGCGGCTTTTGTTGTAGCATGCCTTTCAGATGCTTATTTTGTATTATTTTAAACACACATATTCCTGGTACAGTACATTTCTTTTGTATCCAAACATTGTGTTAGTTTAGATGGCTAGAGCTGAATGGGTATACTTTCTGTAAGACCCTGTGAAACATGTTTCAGGAGCTGCTGTATCTAATCCCCCTGGCACTTACCTCAATAGCATACATTGCTTTATCATGCCAGGTCATAATGGTAAACTTGTTCATTGTTGAACTGGTGCATGAGAGAACCCTGCAGTCAAAAAAAGGTTTAATTTTATCAAAGATTGCAAAGGGGAGGAAGGCAATGGAAGGCTGCCAGCAGTCTTTATTCAGTGTCTGCCTACATTGAAACCAGCAATGCCTTACTTCTTTTTGGCCATGTTGGCAGTTTGAAGAAACAGATTGTGGAAGAACTTGAAGGCATGCTGATCTCTGAAATGCAGGTAAAATGGTCAGATGCCACAGAATTGCTTTTGTATGCAGTAAATTGAAACTTGAATCACAGGCATTCATTTAAAAGCTAAATTTATTGTACTTCATTTTACAGTGTTCCCTTTCTAGGCTGAGAGTTAATACAATAAAAATATATATAGAAGAACATTTAATAGTCTTAAAAGAAGGCAGCACAATGGATAGGACACATGTTCTTTGTCACTAGACTAGCTTAAAAACTGTAATGTTTAATTTTCACCTTTAAAGCAATCAAGCTGACTTTACTAATGTAAAGTGCAGGCAGAATAGCTGTTGCATAGCAACAGATCTAAGTCTCCTGAACTGCCTTGGTTTTGACAAGGAATCAACTACACAATGTGCATATACATCCATCAGATATAAAGAGGTTTTATATGAATATATTTACTTTTGGTCCAGTAAAACAATAGCAAGAGAATCTAAATGCTTGGAACAATAGCACAACCCATTTCATGTCAAGCATTTTTAAAGAGAAATGTACAAAACCTCACAAATTTAATATACAAGTCAGTATCCATGCAGTAAATAAATGTCCAGTTTATACAAACAATATTCTTCTAAATGGTACAAATATTACACTGGATCCAGAATTCTATACAAATGTTAATACGTGATATTTCATCCATATGGACTTGAATATAGGATTACTGAAAATGGGCTACAGAAAGGCCACTCTTCTGTACAGTTGTGCAAAATCTGCAAAACATTTGCAATCCAAATGCAATAAAGTAACAAGAAAGAGCAAGGAATAAAAAGAAAAAGAGAGGAAAAAAAAATATCTGTCCATTCTTTCCTTCATCCTGTCATGGATATAATTGCCAGGAAATATCAGAGCTCATAAAGTTTTAAGTACATTCACTGAGCTGTACAAGCAATAGTCTAAAGTTGGTTAAGCGTACAACTCACTGTAAAAAGAATAAAGGAGGCTGTCCCTTTTCACATGAGCATTATTAAGCCATGTCATGTGTCCTAACTTATGCAGCAAAACACTGAAAAGCAGCACAAATGTTTTGTCATGCTCTGATCACTTTTGAAAACAAGCCCATGAAGAGTAAATAGATGATTTAAGATTTACCTCCCACTTTCCTATTGCAGGCAGGTGCCTAGCTCTAAGGAGATATTTCTGCCCACATTCACTGGTTGTCTCCAGCACATCTCAACTCTCCTGGAAGTTTAAAACACTTCAGCTAGCTTGCAAACTCAGCAGAACCCAGAGACATCCCTTCCCATTCAAAGACAGAACAGAGGCTTTTTGAGTTCTCAGTCATTTTTCAGGTTTTGTGCTCATATCTGTTCCCATCACACATTTTCCCCAAGTACAATATGGCCAAATCTCACAGCTCAGAAAACACATAGGAGAGTACTTGAAAAACTGCATTCATTACTTTTCTATTGTAGGAATTTTCAAAGCCTCTCAGGTTCAGAGCAGTTTGTTGGGAACCTTTTTCACTGCTGCTTTTCTGGGCAAGAGAAACGCTGTTACCAAGGATGTTCAAAGTCTATCTTTTCTCTTTTGCAAAATCTGCAGATTATACCATTGCCTTCAGTACAAAAACAGCATAAATAACAGTACCATGACTAATTAAAACAAAGAAACAAACAAAAAACAAACAACAACAACAACAACAAAAAAAAACACAACCAGATGTGATTAAGAAACAAGTAACACATAATTTGGTCTTAATTAGAATATAAACCAGCATCCCTTTGCACTGATGGTAAGCCTTAGCAACAGGCTTTAAAAAAGCACAAAGAAATAAGACCTAACTATTTGAGACTTAAATTTACATCAGTCATTTTGTCTGCTGATTTTCACCTCTTTATGTGTTTGACAAAACTGAAACAAAACCACTGCATTACACTTTTTCCCTGTTATGTAAGAAAACTCCTAGAGTTTCTCATTAAATAGATTTATTTTTTTTTTAATTCTCCCATCACCAAAATAGTACCTGCACTCCAAAAATGCAATGCATTACTGGAATTATATAATATAAAATATCATTGTAAAAGCGACCTTCGATAACAAAACCTTTAGCTTGTCAAACTTCCCCTGTGAAGGCCACAGTCTTCCAAAAAATGCTTTTAAATACTTTTCTTTAATAGGTAAAGATCACGTTCTTTATTTCACAGAAGGTAAACACAAGCAGAGTGTTGGTAGCATATAAAATGTACAAATCCTCATTAAAGACATGGTATCGCTGACCATTGAAGGTTTACTTCACACAGCTGAGTAACATTAAAATATAATTTACTAGAGCTCCCACAGATTGATATAAAAACTACTTTATGCACTTAAGTAAAGGCCTGGAGTGTAGCAAGTGGACTAAAAGAGGGCCCCTTATACATGCGTTTCAATGTAGGAGTGCGTGTGCGCTAAGGAGGCTAGAAGTGCATCGACCTCGGATGAGCCATTAACAGAGTCCCGCGGGGTGCTGCTGTGACAGATGTCCCAGAAGATATCGAGGTACATTTGCTTCCATTCTTGAAAGTCTCTAGACGTCAGGTCTGGATTATCCAGAACTTTGTCGATAATGGCTACTTCTCCTTCCCTGGCCTGTGAGGGAAGAGAGACGAGCAGAGTCAGAGCGGGCGATGAGCAGGCTGCGTGGGTGGGATGGGAACGGAGGCAGGCCATGGAGGTCTGGGAAGCAGGGAGCTGCCTGGCTGTCATGAGACTGTCTGCAGGCAGCAGCCCCTCCTGCCGGGTGTTGCTCATCACCCTGTGGGGATGGGGCTTCCCTCACCTTGTCCCTGTTCCCCAGAAACGGGCCCTATTCCCCCCCTCACCCCTTGTTCAGCTCGTGCGAGAAGCAAGCCCCGCGCTGTTTACTACAAGCTGCCTTTGTTTCTCAGGATCGGTTTCGTGCTGCTGAGTGCCATCTGTTTGCTCTTCTTGATCAGCATGAGAAATACCGTGTTTGTGCGTGGGATGCGGACAGATGGCCTCTCGCCGCCAGCAGAGCTAAGCCTTTCTTACCAGCCGTGTCTTGGGGACATTTGAGCGCTGTGCTGCAAACGCCTGTGCAGGGAGGCATTACCTTGGTAACTCATCCTCACCAGCACTCCAGTATACGTGATGTGCTGGCTGGTTGCTACCTCCTCCTACCACTGCGGTGGCAAACAGAAGGCAGAAATGGGTAAAACCTAACACAGCTGCTAGCACATCCTTACCCATCACGGGGGCAGGAAATGTGGCTGTATCCTAATCGCTGGCTGGTGGTTAGTTTATCGAGAGATGACAGACAGACAGCATGGGTCAGATTAAGCCTCAGATACACATGAAGCCACTCAAGGTTGTTGCAAGCAGTGGAAGCTGGATGCACCATCCTTGAGCCTGGGAAGCACAGGAAACATGCAGGATTCCTGCACTTCTCTGTGTAGACATGGTACAGTCACCAGCAGCCTCCCCTCTATCCTCCATACCACATGGGTTTCATGGTCCTCATTGCTAACTGGTATTTGCCATGTTCATACTGTGAGTATGATAAATCTTTCTGGGGAGCATGTTAAGGGAAGATTAAGTGGTGTCAGCCTACACTGGTGGGAGAGGATCAGAAAGGTCAGAGAAGCCACCAATAAGCAGTATGTTGAAAGGTATTTTTCATGCTTTGCAATCAGTAGCTAATTAATGCTACATGCTAGAATATTAATTTTCAGAAACGGACGTACAGCTCAGGCTGACCAGTGGAAGTGAAATTTTGGGATCTCCTCATTACCAAATCTCTGCAGGAACTACCATAACGTGCTTCTCGCAGATCGTGACCTGTACCCACCACACAGTACTGCCAGTCAGGTGGCTCATAATTGCTGTCAGGAGAATGGTTTTGTGGTTAAGTCATGACAAAGAGAGCAGAGGGGTCTCTCCACTGAGGACTTGGGTGATGGAACAGAGAGGATGGATGGTAAGAGCTAGAAGCAATTTGGAGGGCTGTATCAGATTACTAATAGTGGATGAATTCAAGGAGAGTTCAGAACACCAAAACCAACCGGCTGGTGCAAATGGATGCATTCAGGAAGAAGAAACCAATAGCATTGATAAAAATGAGGAACAATTGATTAAATAACAACAGTAGCTCCTATACTACTACCAGTAGCATAGCAGTGGTGGAGCTAGAAACTCTTGAGTTACCATCATACACGTGATACTCTGTACAGTTGCCATATGCAAGAAACAGAAATTACCTGTCTTTGGTACTTGCTGGCATTGTGTTGCCAATTATTTGTGTCATTCTTGTCCAAACAAAAATGGTGACTGTTTTAGAAAATATGTCTTGTGGGAAGAGATATGTGTTCGATTGGTCTAAAAGACAGAGGTCCCAGAGAAGCATGAAAACAGGCACCTGCTGGGTCAAAGGGATGAGCTGCTTTGGGAAGTTCCTGGAGGAAAGCAATTCAATCTGTAGGAAACCATTGGTATAAGGTAGCTCAGGTATCAATAAATGCTAACAAGAAAGGCAATTAAGCATGGCAACAAGCTGCTGATACTGAACCTCTAGGTTGTGTAATTACTGAAAGTATCATGAAGTGTTTGCTTGCTTGTTTTTTAAGTTTTGTGCCAACATCTCTTGCACACTTTTGGTATGAGTGATCCCACCATGGTGCAAAAGCACAGGTACTGTGTGAGCCTCCTGCCTGCTCTAAACATTAACATGAGATTACTGGGATTTTGTCTCCGTTTCTCATGTTATAGAAGTCACATGGAAAGCACAGACTTTTTCTGCCACCCTCCAAACCTGTAAAGTCTCACATACTCAGATACTTTCAGTTGCCTTCAATGAGATGATACAGTGCAAAAAGTTAAGCATGGGTAAGATATATTTTTTTTTCAGGATGGGAGCCCCACAGCATGAAAGTAATATTGCTAAAGTGCTTCTCTAGGTGATGGAAAACTAAATTAATTAATGTTGATAAAGCCCTCTTTGATGAAAGCTGTTACAAAATCC